CACATTCACAGATCACACAGAGGTATTCAGTTGTGTGTGGTTCCTCACATTGACAGATGACACAGAGGTATTCAGTAGTATGTGATTCCTCACAGTCACACATCACACAGAGGTATCCAGTAGTATGTGATTCCTCACAGTCACAGATCACACAGAGGTATCCAATAGTATGTGATTCCTCACATTCACAGATCACACAGAGGTATCCAGTAGTATGTGATTCCTCACAGTCAGAGATCACACAGAGGTATTCAGTTGTGTGTGGTTCCTCACATTCACAGATCACACAGAGGTATCCAGTTGTAAGTGGTTCCTCACATTCACAGATCACACAGAGTTATCCAGTAGTATGTGATTCCTCACAGTCAGAGATCACACAGAGGTATCCAGTAGTATGTGATTCCTCACATTCACAGATCACACAGAGGTATTCAGTTGTATGTGATTCCTCACATTCACAGATCACACAGAGGTATTCAGTAGTATGTGATTCCTCACAGTCACAGATCACACAGAGGTATCCAATAGTATGTGATTCCTCACATTCACAGATCACACAGAGGTATCCAGTAGTATGTGATTCTTCACACTCACAGATCACACAGAGGTATTCAGTTGTTTGTGATTCCTCACATTCTCAGATCACACAGAGGTATTCCGTTGTGTGTGGTTCCTCACATTCACAGATGACACAGAGGTATTCAGTAGTATGTTATTCCTCACAGTCACACATCACACAGAGGTATCCAGTAGTATGTGATTCCTCACATTCACAGATCACACAGAGGTATCCAGTAGTATGTGATTCCTCACATTCACAGATCACACAGAGGTATTCAGTTGTATGTGGTTCCTCACATTCACAGATCACACAGAGGTATCAAGTTGTATGTGATTCCTCACATTCACAAATCGCACAGAGGTAATCAGTTGTATGTGATTCCTCACATTCACAGATCACACAGAGGTATCCAGTAGTATGTGATTCCTCACATTCACAGATCACACAGAGGTATCCAGTAGTATGTGATTCCTCACATTCACAGATCACACAGAGGTATTCAGTTGTATCTGATTCCTCACATTCACAGATCACACAGAGGTATCCAGTAGTATGTGATTCCTCACATTCACAGATCACACAGAGGTATTCAGTTGTATGTGATTCCTCACATTCACAGATCACACAGAGGTATTCAGTTGTATGTGGTTCCTCACATTCACAGATCACACAGAGTTATTCAGTGGTATGTGATTCGTCACATTCACAGATCACACAGAGGTATTCAGTTGTGTGTGGTTCCTCACACTCATAGATGACACAGAGGTATTCAGTTGTATGTGGATTTGCATGTTCACAGAACACAGATGTATTCAGTAGCATGTGGTTCCTCACATTCACAGAACACAAGGAGGTATTCAGTTGTATGTGATTCCTCACATTCATTGGTCACACATATGTAATTAGTTGTAAGTAGTCCCTCACATTCACAGATCACACAGAGGAATTCAGTTGTATGTGGATTTGCATGTTCACTGAACACAAGGAGGTTCTCAGTTATATATGTTTTGGCACATTCACAGTTAACACAGAGGTAGCCAGTTGTGTCTGTTTTCGCATGTTCACAGAACACACACTCATATGAGATTGTTTTGATAAGCATAGTTAATTAAGTAATGAGTAGAACGTATTTACATGTCCTTTGTATCTTGACATTACTTAGTGCATTTTAACATAGATGTGTCTGCACAAGACGGACGCGAGCTGCTGACAGGTAGCCCGGGGAGCTGGGCACTTCTAATTGGGCAATATTATACTATATTGACTGGTAGAAGAAACAACACATGATCAAAGGTAGTGTTATATGGCAGTATATTATAGTTAATTGGAAGTTAGTTGGACGGTATATAAGGGGACAAGAGCATGCCTCTCGGATCGCTCACACATTTTATCTCTCACGCATTTCCATCGCTTCAAAACCAGCTTTCATGTGAGGATCGCTCATCATCCCTGATTCCCTGCCTAGCCCATCACGGAACTTGACCACTGTCAAGATTCAAGATTCAAGATTCTTTATTCAGTATTTTGGGCCATGTGGTCTAGAGTACAATTACAATTACAATAATTGCTGCGTCACGTGGTGTCAGGAAAATAAATACAGGTAGTCTTAATTCACATTAAATACATGATTTAAGTATAAGGACAAAGCCTTTACAATGTTGATATTTTTGGAGTTGAGTAGATTACATAAACTGTGATTATCATGATGGACATTGGATAACCAAGGCAAATAGTGGTTTCTGACAGAAGAATATTTTGAACATATAAACAAAACATGAAATTCATCCTCTAATTGCCTCCCTTTACAGTGGGTACATAATTTAGATATAGACTCAAGTCTTCATATGTATGTTTTAACTTTCCTAGCGTGTTAATCTTAAAACCGTGTAGCGATATTCTGAATTTACAATATGCTCTCCTGAGTGATTTATTCGTAAGATTATTGATGTAAAATTCTGGCTGTAAAAGTGATTTCAAATTTGCATAATGTGACAGATATTTTGATGAAGAAATAGAGTCATGCCACTCTTGTGAATACATGTCAATCAGCCTTTGTTTTATTTTTAGTAAAAGTGACTCCAGTGTTTACTGACATCGTAATTGCTGTGTAGTAATTTGTATTGATTTCTGAATTTAGTGAATTTTGTAATATATTTGTTGATTGAATACCTCTTGTTGGTTGTTTGTTGGTTTCACACTAAGTTACGCACAAATTTCTGGATTAACACATTGTTTCAATTTGGAAATCGACACGTAACAGTAGTAAGTAAACAAAGCGGCAAAAGAAAGTATAGGTTGGCAATTTGTAATTTTCCTAAAAACAGCGATAACTAGTGGAAAGTGGGTATTGGGAATATGACTGCCCAGGAACAGGTACTAAAAAACACCTCACTTGAACGCGCCATCTTTGACGGCGCTCGTGTGGTGACAAAAAAATGGTGAAACAGGTTTCCCGCCTATGGCATAAACTGCACGTGCATGTTAGCTGTATAAATGCGTTCGTCTGCAGGGTATAACCACACGTGATGAAATCACACAAAAGAAATGCCACGACTGTCACAGGAGCAGAGAGAGAGTGAGAGAGAGAGAGACATCGATATGGCCGAAATGGGGGCAACACAGGTCCAAATTGCCAGAAGGTTTGCTTGTACACCATTGACAGTAGCCAGGCTGATTCAACGGTACAGGCAGACAGGGAGGACACAGGACAGGCCTAGAACTGGATGATCCCGAGTGACAACACTTCTGGAAGACGGTCAGATACGGCCCATTCACCTGCGAAACAGATTCGTAACGGCGACGGCGACGATAGCAACAGCGTTGGGACATCCCATTAGCCAACGTACAGTACTACGACGACTTCGTGCTGCTGGAATCCGAGCGTATCATCCTTTCCGAGGAATGGTACTGACTGCTCAACATCGACGCCTGAGACTGCGATGGGCGAGGCAGGTTCGACGCTGGCAAATGAGAAATTGACGTCGAGTGCTGTTTACTGATGAAAGTCTAGTAACTTGTTTAACTTGTTTCGAAATTACGGCAGAGAACGAGTTTATCGATGCAGAGGGGAACGTTTGGCTCCGGCGTGTATTCGAGAGGTCCATCCATTCGGCGGGTTAGGTGTCATGGTGTGGGCCGGTATTTGTGGAGATGAGAAGACTCATTTGGTGATAATACAGGGAAACCTGAAAGCTGTGCAGTACAGAGACCAAGTGTTGCAGCCAGTTGTGCTTCCGTTCTTACAAAACCAACAGCAGGGGACATTGTTTCAACACGACAATGCCAGGCCCCATACTGCAAGACTGACTCGGAACTTTCTAAACCAGCAGAACGTTGACCTGCATCTGTGGGACCATCTTGACAGACAGATTAGAGCACGCCCTCAGCCTCCCATCAACAGACAAGAATTGCAGCAGGCCCTGAGAGACGAGTGGCAACGGATTCCAGTCCATGGCATCAGTAGACTGACGTCATCGATGAGGCGGCGTATCACAGCATGCATTGAGGCAGCTGGAGGTCATACACGCTATTGAAGGCAACTGTGTCGACAATGAACTTGTAGTGTGTCTGACAATGTTTTGGTGACATTTCAGACACCTTTTGAAAATGAAATTTCTTACCCCACCATTGTTTACCTTGAGCTTACATTACCTGTGATTGCACAATTTCATTCAAACTGTGGTTGATCAATCATTTGTTACCCCTCCCTAGATTATATTATATTTCACAACAAAACCTCTTCTTGTTATTTTTTTATCGATCATGGAACTCGACCTATACTTTCTTTTGCCGCCCAGTTTAGTCTGCTGTAACACAGTTGCTCCTCACAAACCACGGTGTTCCTCTTAATTGTTTTTGTTCTTGTCAATGTTCCTCCCACCTCTTGGTGTTCCTGGCACACGTCACAGCTCTTGGTACTCTTGCGTCCCTCTCAACTCTTAGTGTTCCTCTTCTTTAGTTGTTCCTCAACTTTAGTTGTTCTTCTATCAGTTCCTTTTAACTCTCAACTCTTTGTGATCCTCTCATATATTGGTGTTCCTCTGAACCCTTTAAGCTCCCCTCAAATCTTAGTGTTCTTCTCTGTCTTTCTCTCAACACTTTGTAATCCTCTGACATATTGGTGTTCCCCTGAACGCTTTGTTTTCCTCTCAACTATTGGTGGTCTTCTCAACTCCTAGTGTCCCCCACAACTATTGGTGGTCTTCTCAACTCCTAGTGTCCCCCACAACTATTGGTGGTCTTCTCAACTCCTAGTGTCCCCCACAACTCTTTGGGGTCTTCTCAACTCTTGGTAATCATCTAAACATTTTGTGTTTCCCCCAAAGGTTTTGTTGTAAACTAAGATTGAGACTTCATACTTCAAACTAAGTTCTGGTCAGTCGCACCTTCACGGAGATAAGCTTTGCTAGTCTGCGTGGCAATTTTGGAAGATTCGTGTGTGATAAGAACAGGGTGCGTAATTTGTTAACCTATAAATACCATCTGGCATAAGTAACTCCTCACTGTCGTCATGTTGAAGCTCGCAATCTTTGCTGTTCTGGTCGCTGCTGCAACTGCAGGTTTGTGAAATACAGAGCCCTTTGTAGCAAAACCCTCGTTTAGGACAGGGACACATCTGGTTATATTTCATAGTTATTTTATTTTGACATAGCAGTTCATGTGACACGTTGCGCGGCTGGGAACAAGAGATCCCTGGCGGACAAACGTACGATACAGCTTTACTCATTTATAGCAAACGTACGGAAATGTATATGTTTCTAATTCAGGATCAGAGTTAGTTTATTTAGTTAAGACAATCGGTGCTTGAAATCTAGTGGGATATGCAATGTTTTATTAATGGCCTAAATATCTTTGCAGCTATCTCATCTTCATGTCTTCACGCCATATGCGTGGTAAGTGAATTATTGTTTCCTGTATATTTTGTCACACAGATAACCTAAACCATACCATTACTAATTTACACAGACACAAGGCGTGTATGTGGTTGTTATTCTCCTACTAGGGTTGTATGTGGTAGTTTCTATCCTGCTAGCGGTGTATGTGATTGGTAGTTATTATCCTACTAGACGTGTATGTGGTGGGTAGTTATTATCATACTAGCTATAGGGGTGGTGGTTATTGCTATTATCCTCAAAGGCGTGTATGTGGCAGTAATTATCCTACTAAGGGTGTTGGTGTTTCTTATTGTTATTCTCCTACTCGGCGTGTATGTGGCAGTTATTATCCTACTAGGGGTGCTGGTGTTTGTTATTGTTATTCTCCTACTAGGCGTGTATGTGGTAGTTATTATCCTACTAGGGGTGTTGGTGTTTGTTATTGTTATTCTCCTACTAGGCGTGTATGTGGTAGTTATTATCCTACTAGGGGTGTTGGTGTTTGTTATTGTTATTCTCCTACTAGGCGTGTATGTGGTAGTTATTATCCTACTACTGATGTCGGTGTTGGTTATTGCTATTATCCTCCAAGGCGTGTATGTGGCAGTTATTATCCTACTAGGGGTGTTGGTGTTTGTTATTGTTATTCTCCTCCAAGGCGTGTATGTGACAGTTATTATCCTACTAGGGGTGTTGGTGTTTGTTATTGTTATTCTCCTACTAAGCGTGTATGTGGTAGTTATTATTCTACTACTCATGTTTACAATAACAAACACCAACACCCTTTGCAGGATAATAACTACCACATACACGCCTAGAAGGAGAATAACAATAACAAACACCAACACCCCTAGTAGGATAATAACTACCACCTACACGCCTAGTAGGAGAATAACAATAACAAACACCGACATCAGTAGTAGGATAATAACTACCACATACACGCCTAGTAGGAGAATAACAATAACCAACACCGACATCAGTAGAAGAATAATAACTTCCACATACACGCCTGGTAGGAGAATAACAATAACCAACACCGACATCAGAAGTAAAATAATAACTACCATATACACGCCTAGTAGGAGAATAACAATAACAAACACCAACACCTCTAGTAGGATAATAACTACCACATACATGCCTAGTAGGAGAATAACAATAACAAACACCAACATCCCTAGTAGGATAATAACTGCCACATACACGCCTAGTAGGAGAATAACAATAACCAACACTATTGTTATTGTTATTAGGGGTGTTGGTGTTTGTTATTGTTATTCTCCTACTAGGCGTGTATGTGGTAGTTATTATCCTACTACTGATGTCGGTGTTTGTTATTGTTATTCTCCTACTAGGCGTGTAGGTGGTAGTTATTATCCTACTAGAGGTGTTGGTGTTTGTTATTGTTATTCTCCTACTAGGCGTGTATGTGGTAATTATTATCCTACAAAGGGTGTTGGTGTTTGTTATTGTAAACATCAGTAGTAGGATAATAACTGCCACATACACGCCTAGTAGGAGAATAACAATAACAAACACCAACACCTCTAGTAGGATAATAACTACCACATACACGCCCAGTAGGAGAATAACAATAACAAACGCCGTCATCAGTAGTAGGATAATAACTGCCACATACACGCCTAGTAGGAGAATAACAATAACAAACACCAACACCCCAGGTAGGATAATAACTACCACATACACGCCTAGTAGGAGAATAACAATAACAAACACCAACACCCCTAGTAGGATAATAACTGCCACATACACGCCTAGTAGGAGAATAACAATAACCAACACTATTGTTATTGTTATTAGGGGTGTTGGTGTTTGTTATTGTTATTCTCCTACTAGGCGTGTATGTGGTAGTTATTATCCTACTACTGATGTCGGTGTTTGTTATTGTTATTCTCCTACTAGGCGTGTAGGTGGTAGTTATTATCCTACTAGGGGTGTTGGTGTTTGTTATTGTTATTCTCCTACTAGGCGTGTATGTGGTAATTATTATCCTACAAAGGGTGTTGGTGTTTGTTACTGTAAACATCAGTAGTAGGATAATAACTGCCACATACACGCTTAGTAGGAGAATAACAATAACAAACACCAACACCTCTAGTAGGATAATAACTACCACATACACGCCCAGTAGGAGAATAACAATAACAAACGCCGTCATCAGTAGTAGGATAATAACTGCCACATACACGCCTAGTAGGAGAATAACAATAACAAACACCAACACCCCAGGTAGGATAATAACTACCACATACACGCCTAGTAGGAGAATAACAATAACAAACACCAACACCCCTAGTAGGATAATAACTGCCACATACACGCCTAGTAGGAGAATAACAATAACAAACACCGACATCAGTAGTAGGATAATAACTGCCACATACACGCCTAGTAGGAGAATAACAATAACCAACACCTACATCAGTAGTAGGATAATAACTGTCAGATACATGCCTAGTAGGAGAATAACACTGTTACTGTTTACAATAACAAACACCAACACCCCTTTTAGGATAATAACTACCACATACACGCCTAGTAGGAGAATAACAATAACAAACACCGACATCAGTAGTAGGATAATAACTGCCACAAACATACCTAGTAGGAGAATAACAATAACAAACACCAACACCCCTAGTAGGATAATAACTGCCACATACACGCCTAGGAGGAGAATAACAATAACAAACACCAACACCCCTAGTAGGATAATAACTACCACACACACGCCTAGTAGGAGAATAACAATAACACACACCGACATCAGTAGTAGAATAATAACTCCCACATACACACCCAGTAGGAGAATAACAATAACCAACACCGACATCAGTAGTAAAATAATAACTGCCACATACACGCCTAGAAGGAGAATAACAATAACAAACACCAACACCCCTAGTAGGATAATAACTACCACACACACGCCTAGTAGGAGAATAACAATAACAAACACAAACATCCCTAGTAGGAAAATAACTGCCACATACACGCCTAGAAGGAATATCACAATAACCAACACCGATATCAGTAGTAGAATAATAACTACCACATACACGCCTAGTAGGAGAATAACAATAACAAACACCAACACCCCTAGTAGGATAATAACTGCCACATACACGCCTAGTAGGAGAATAACAATAACCAACACCGACATCAGTAGTAGGATAATAACTACCACATTCACGCCTAGTAGGAGAATAAAAATAACCAACACCGACATCAGTAGTAGGATAATAACTGCCACATACACGCCTAGTAGGAGAATAACAATAACAATATTATCCTACTAGGGGTGTTGGTGTTTGTTATTGTTATTCTCCTACTAGGCGTGTATGTGGTAGTTATTATCCTACTACTGATGTCGGTGTTTGTTATTGTTATTCTCCTACTAGGCGTGTATATGGTAGTTATTATCCTACTAGGGGTGTTGGTGTTTGTTATTGTTATTCTCCTACTAGGCGTGTATGTGGCAGTTATTATCCTACTACTGCTGTCGGTATTGGTTATTGATTTTCTCCTACTGGGCGGGCATGTTGTTTTGCTACGGACGTCTGCCTTCCTATTGTTGTTTATCTTCCTATTGTTGTCTATCTTCCTTTTGTCTACTGTATTCTGCCTTCCTTTTGCCTACCACTCCCACTCACTCAACCCTATTGATGCACAGGTGGAGTCTGGCTGCCAACCGCTTGGGTGTAAATATGACGTTAATGGTAATGCATGTGGCTACTATCAGATCCATACGGGCTATTATTCTGACTGCGGTAGTCCTGGATCAAGTGAGTGGTTTCTATTCTTACAGTACATCTAGTTAAAAATACACTAGACATGTGTACAATGAGCGCCATAGCAACACGATCTGCTTTGGAATAAGCCAGTTGAATTGAATGATTGGTGATGTGTTGTTTGATGGTGATGGACTGATTAATGATGAATTGTCTGGTGGTGATGGGCTGATTAATGATGAATTGTCTGATGGTGATGATGATGACGGATTGCTGTTGTATTGTTTGATGGTGATGTTCTGATTGATGATGTATTGTTTGATGGTGATGGACTCATTAATGATATTTTGTTTGATGGTGATGAACGGATTGATGATGTATTGTTTGATGATGGACTGATTGATGATGTATTGTTTGATGGTGATTGACGGATTGATGATGTATTGTTTGATGGTGATGGACAGATTGATGATGAATTGTTTGATGGTGATGGACTGATTGATGATGAATTGTTTGATTGTGATGGACTGATTGATGATGTATTGTTTGATGATGACGGATTGATGATGAATTGTTTGGTGATGATGGAATGATTGATGATGTATTGTGTGATGATTACGGACTGATTAATGATGTTTTGTTTGATGGTAATGGACCGATTAATGATGAATTGTTTGATGATGATGTACTTTTGATGATGAATTGATTGATGGTGATGGACTGATAAATGGTGAATTGTTTGATGATGATGGACTCTTGATGATGAATTGTCTGATGGTGATGATGATGACGGATTGCTGTTGTATTGTTGGATGGAGATGGACTGATTGATGATGAATTGTCTGATGGTGATGAACTGACTGATGATGTATTGTCTGATGGTGATGGACTGACTGATGATGAATTGTCTGGTGGTGATGGACTGATTGATAATGTATTGTTTGATGATAATGGACCGATTAATGATGAATTGTTTGATGATGATGGACTGATTAATGATGAATTGTTTGATGGTGATGGACTGATTGATGATATATTGATTGATGGTGATGGTCTGATTAATAATTAATTGTCTCATGTGAAGGACCTATCAATGATGTATTGTCTGATGTGATGGACTGATTAATGATGTTTTGTTTGATGAAGATGATTTGATTGATGATTGATTGTTGATGGTGATGAAAGGATTGATGAATAATATATTGATGCATGCAGGTTGGCAGGCCTGTGCCAAGGACAAGTCCTGCGCCGACAGTTGCGTCAGGGCCTATATGAATCGTTACGGCACCTACTGCACCGGAGGAAGGACTCCTACCTGCGAGGACTACGCCAGGATTCACAATGGCGGCCCCAAGGGCTGTGTACACAGCAACACACTCGGGTACTGGCACAAGGTCCAGACACACATCGGTTAATACGTCGAGTCATGTAGCATTCCTAGCGTTTGTTAATACACATGCTAATTGCGTTTGCATTGTTTGTCTTGATAAAGCATTTGATCGAATCTTGATGAGTCACGTATTAGGGGCACATACGTGACGATGTTTTTATGTAAAACATGTACCAACCACAGAAGTTTGAACGTTTCTGTTCCGTTACCTTGTTTGCGCTCGTTGCTAAGGTGTAATGTTGTCCACTGCGGAAAGACACAATCGTTACTGAGCCGAAGGGTTCTTCACTGCGGGGATCCACGCTCCTCGCAAAGACGTAGGGTTCTTCACTGCGGGGATCCACGCTCCTCGCAAAGACGTAGGGTTCTTCACTGCGGTGATCCACGCTCCTCGCAAAGACGTAGGGTTCTTCACTGCGGTGATCCACGCTCCTCGCAAAGGCGTTAGGCTCTTCACTGCGGGGATCCACGCTCCTCGCAAAGACGTAGGGTTCTTCACTGCGGGGATCCACGCTCCTCGCAAAGGCGTTAGGCTCTTCACTGCGGGGATCCACGCTCCTCGCAAAGACGTAGGGTTCTTCACTGCGGTGATCCACGCTCCTCGCAAAGGCGTAAGGCTCTTCACTGCGGTGATCCACGCTCCTCGCAAAGACGTAGGGTTCTTCACTGCGGTGATCCACGCTCCTCGCAGAGGCGTTAGGCTCTTCACTGCGGTGATCCACGCTCCTCGCAAAGACGTAGGGTTCTTCACTGCGGTGATCCACGCTCCTCGCAAAGGCGTTAGGTTCTTCACTGCGGTGATCCACGCTCCTCGCAAAGACGTAGGGTTCTTCACTGCGGTGATCCACGCTCCTCGCAAAGGCGTTAGGCTCTTCACTGCGGTGATCCACGCTCCTCGCAAAGACGTAGGGTTCTTCACTGCGGTGATCCACGCTCCTCGCAAAGGCGTAAGGCTCTTCACTGCGGTGATCCACGCTCCTCGCAAAGACGTAGGGTTCTTCACTGCGGTGATCCACGCTCCTCGCAAAGGCGTTAGGCTCTTCACTGCGGTGATCCACGCTCCTCGCAAAGACGTAGGGTTCTTCACTGCGGTGATCCACGCTCCTCGCAAAGGCGTAAGGCTCTTCACTGCGGTGATCCACGCTCCTCGCAAAGACGTAGGGTTCTTCACTGCAGTGATCCACGCTCCTCGCAAAGGCGTTAGGCTCTTCACTGCGGTGATCCACGCTCCTCGCAAAGACGTAGGGTTCTTCACTGCGGGGATCCACGCTCCTCGCAAAGGCGTAAGGCTCTTCACTGCGGTGATCCACGCTCCTCGCAAAGACGTAGGGTTCTTCACTGCTGTGATCCACGCTCCTCGCAAAGGCGTTAGGCTCTTCACTGCGGTGATCCACGCTCCTCGCAAAGGCGTTAGGCTCTTCACTGCGGTGATCCACGCTCCTCGCAAAGACGTAGGGTTCTTCACTGCGGTGATCCACGCTCCTCGCAAAGGCGTAAGGCTCTTCACTGCGGTGATCCACGCTCCTCGCAAAGACGTAGGATTCTTCACTGCGGTGATCCACGCTCCTCGCAAAGGCGTTAGGCTCTTCACTGCGGTGATCCACGCTCCTCGCAAAGACGTAGGGTTCTTCACTGCGGTGATCCACGCTCCTCGCAAAGGCGTAAGGCTCTTCACTGCGGTGATCCACGCTCCTCGCAAAGACGTAGGGTTCTTCACTGCGGTGATCCACGCTCCTCGCAAAGGCGTTAGGCTCTTCACTGCGGTGATCCACGCTCCTCGCAAAGACGTAGGGTTCTTCACTGCGGGGATCCACGCTCCTCGCAAAGGCGTAAGGCTCTTCACTGCGGTGATCCACGCTCCTCGCAAAGACGTAGGGTTCTTCACTGCGGTGATCCACGCTCCTCGCAAAGGCGTAAGGCTCTTCACTGCGGGGATCCACGCTCCTCGCAAAGACGTAGGGTTCTTCACTGCGGTGATCCACGCTCCTCGCAAAGGCGTAAGGCTCTTCACTGCGGTGATCCACGCTCCTCGCAAAGACGTAGGGTTCTTCACTGCGGTGATCCACGCTCCTCGCAAAGGCGTTAGGCTCTTCACTGCGGTGATCCACGCTCCTCGCAAAGACGTAGGGTTCTTCACTGCGGGGATCCACGCTCCTCGCAAAGACGTAAGGCTCTTCACAGCAGTGATCAACGCTTGTAATGAAGCTGTAAGGTTATTTATTGCGGTGGTCAATACTTTACTAAACTGTAAGCTTGTTCACTGCGGTGATCCTCGCTCATTACTAAACTGTAAGGTTATCTACTGCGATGGTCTACTCTCCTTGCTAGGATGTAAGATTGTCCACTGCTGTAGACCACGTTCGTTACTAAGCTGTAAGTTTGTCCACGCTCATTACTGACACCGAATAGACTGGGAACACCGTATAGACTGTCTACTGTGTAAAGTGAACACCGGATAGACTGGAAACATCGTATAGACCGTCTACCGTGTAAAGTGAGCACCGAATAGACTGGGAACACCGTATAGATTGTGTACTGTATAAAGTGAACACCGAATACACTGGGAACACCGTATAGACTGTGTAAAGTGAACACCGGATAGACTGTAAGCTGTGTTATGTGAACACTGGATATACTGGGAACACCGTATAGACTTCTACGGGGTAGAGTGACACTGTATATACTGTATACAGTGTAAAATGAACACTTAGTAGATTGTAAACACTGTATAGACTGTATGCTGTGTAAAGTGAACACTGGATATACTGGTAACACCGTATAGACTGTATACTGCGTAAAGAGAACACTGGGTGGATTGCGAACACCGTATTGACTGTCTAATGGATAAAGTTAACATTCAGAAGATTGGGTAGACTGTAAACACCGGATAGGATGTGTATATATACTGTTTACTGTAGAATGACTGCATGTTAACTAGGCAGAATGAACACGTGGTAGATAGTGAACACCGGATAGATCGAACACCGGGAAGCGTGAGCTGAGGACAGATTTAAACAACGGGTAAACTATGAACACTGGATTGAGTGTGAACACAAAATCGCCGAATTACTGCTTATCTGTCTTGCGATCAGCTTAGGCTAGTGGTAACCTTATTCTGAAGTTGAATATTAACACAAACACGGTTTATTTAGCAGCAGTTGTTATAAGAATATAAATAACCATGTCATTCAAAGAATAGGAATTACACAATAGGCATCCGGTGAGTTATCAGTGCTGTGATCAAGAGTTCTACCCACTCTAGTCAAACTGGGCATCCTTGACCACTCCAGCAGTCCAGACAGACGCTACCTGCGCAACACTTCGTCAAAGGCCGACACGACCCAACGCGCGCCGATACGTTTCACCACGCTCCTCAGATCTACAGCCTTTATCTTGTCATCTGTCTTCAAGTTTGTTGACAATATCAATCAGTGAATAGTTGTCAATATGTCAACATATAAACTGTGTGTGTGTTGTTTTTTAGGAAAACACTGTTTATTGCTTTTACGGAAGTGCTCTACTAAGCGCTATTTTAGGTTTGATTGGATTAAGGTTAGGTTTGATTAAGGAAAGGATATGTTTCAGTCCACTGGGGATGGGGTTTGGGCAGTCGATTTGATATTGAGTCTTAGTTTTGGCTAGTGGTCAGCTGTCGTATTACTTTGGATACGCATTAATTTCTAGATTTACAGTATATATCGTCGTATTATATGTTTTCGGACATCATACGTTTTCGGACGGCCATGTTTATCGCGATTACTCCCGCTGTAACAAGGGGTGTAACAGACATTGAAAATATTAAGATGGTGGCCTGATTTTAAGATAAAGATCGTCTTTTATTAGTGAGTGGGGTGTTTTACAGCTGTTCTTGTAACTAGCGAGAAAAATAAGAATGTTTCTTAAGCGTCCGAAAACCCATAACACGGGGATATTTATACCTATACATATGCATGCATGCATGTATGTGTGTGTGGGTGGGTGGGTGTGCGTGTGTGTGTGTGTGCGTACGTGCGTGCGTGCGTGCGTGCGTGCGTGCGTGCGTGCGTGTGTTTTTGTGTGTGTGGATGTGTTGTCGTCAATGTTGTATATAATGTTGTGATGGTGATACTATGTATATGCCACTATGTATATTTAGCTATTTTAGCCAACTTAATCATTCTTTCATACCTGCAACTTCTTGCAGGAACAGGGATATTTCGATTGGGGTTCAGATATCCTTCATAGGAATAAATAACCAATGAACCTATTGCAGTGTCGAGAACGTCAGTAAAAACCATTGTACGTGTGTGATTTCTCCTTCTCCGCTGCGTCCACAGCGTCCATAAGATACATCTGTATTGTGTACGTGTGTGACCTGCCCTTGTCTACAACGTCCATAAGAATAAGGGCATGTGTGTGACATGTCCTTCTCTACAACGTCCGTAACATACAGTGTACGTGTGTGACCTATCCTTGTCTACATCGTCCATTAGATACAGTGTACGCGTGTGACCTGTCCTTGTCTACAACGTCCATAAGAACAAGTGCATGTGTGTGACCTGTCCTTCTCTACAACGTCCGTAACATACAGTGAACGTGTGTGACCTATCCTTGTCTACATCGTCCATTAGATACAGCGTACGCGTGTGACCTGTCCTTGTCTACAACGTCCATCAGATTCAGTGTACGTGTGTGACCTGTCCTTGTCTACAACGTCCATCAGATTCAGTGTACGTGTGTGACCTATCCTTGTCTACAACGTCCATCAGATTCAGTGTATGTGTGTGACCTGTCCTTATCTACAACGTCCATAAGAATAAGTGTATGTGTGTGACCTGTCCTTCTCTACAACGTCCATCAGATTCAGTGTACGTGTGTGACCTTTCCTTGTCTACAACGTCCATCAGATTCAGTGTACGTGTGTGACCTATCCTTGTCTACAACGTCCATCAGATTCAGTGTACGTGTGTGACCTATCCTTGTCTACAACGTCCATAAGAATAAGTGTATGTGTGTGACCTGTCCTTATCTTTCAACGTCCATAAGAATAAGTGTATGTGTGTGACCTGTCCTTGTATACAACGTCTATAACATACAGTGTACGTGTGTGACCTGTCCTTGTCTACATCGTCCATTAGATACAGTGTACGCGTGTGAACTGTCCTTTTCTAATACGTCCGTGACACACAGTGTCTGTGTGCGACCTGTCCTTATCTACAACGTCCATAAGAATAAGTGTATGTGTGTGACCTGTCCTTGTCTACAACGTCCATCAGATTCAGGGTACGTGTGTGACCTGTCCTTGTCTACAACGTCCAACAGATTCAGTGTACTTGTGTGACCTGTCCTTGTCTACAACGTCCATAAGAATAAGTGTATGCGTGTGACCTGTTCTTCTCTACAACGTCCGTAACATACAGTGAACGTGTTTGACCTATCCTTGTCTACATCGTCCATTAGATACAGTGTACGCGTGTGACCTGTCCTTTTCTAATACGTCCGTGACACACATTGTCTGTGTGCGACCTGTCCTTATCTACAACGTCCATAAGAATAAGTGTATGTATGTGACCTGTCCTTCTCTACAACGTCCATCAGATTCAGGGTACGTGTGTGACCTGTCCTTGTCTACAACGTCCATCAGATTCAGTGTACTTGTGTGACCTTTCCTTGTCTACAACGTCCATCAGATTCAGTGTACGTGTGTGACCTGTCCTTGTCTACAACGTCCATAGCATACAGTGTACGTGTGTGACCTGTCCTTGTCTACAACGTCCATTAGATACAGTGTATGTGTGTGACCTGTCCTTGTCTACAACGTCCATTAGATACAGTGTATGTGTGTGACCTGTCCTTGTCTACGACGTCCATTAGATACAGTGTATGTGTGTGACCTGTCCTTATCTACAACGTCCATCAGATTCAGTGTACGTGTGCGACCTGTCCTTGTCTACAACGTCCATTAGATACAGTGTACGTGTGTGACCTGTCCTTGTCTACAACGTCTATAACATACAGTGTACGTGTGTGACCTGTCCTTGTATAATACGTCCGTGACACACAGTGTATGTATGCGACCTGTCCTTGTCTACGACGTCCGTAACATACAGTGTCTGTGTGCGACCTGTCCTTGGCTACAACGTCCATAACATACAGTGTACGTGTGTGACCTGTCCTTGTCTACAACGTCCATCAGACACAGTGTATGTGTGTGACCTGTCCTTGTCTATAAAGTCCACCAGATATATACTGAGTCAAATTAAAAACTCACATTTTTAAAGTAATCCCATATATGATATACAACAGACAAATGTATCAGAGAAGGTAACTTTTAATCATTAATGTCCAAAGAAGGATTTTAATTAACGGTGGTAACCATAATTTGTTCCAAGCACCTACGGTATTCGGTAATAACATCAACAGTTTAAATTATAAGTCCCAAACACGAGAATCTGATGGCACACAAGTTCAGTAGCGTGTATGGCCACCATGTGCGTTGACAACTGCCACACAACGCCTCCGCATGGACCTTGTGATGCTTGTGAACACATGATTGGGAAGACGACGCCATTGTTGCTGCAAAATGGTGCCAAGATCTTGCAAATTCTGTGGTTGGTTCTGGAGAGTGCGCAGACTTCTGTCAAGAGCATCCCAGACGTGTTCGATGGGATTGAGGTCGGGAGACCTTGACGGCCAGTCCATGACGTTGACTCCCGCATTCTGAAGGAAATTCCTTGTCAAAAATGCTGTGTGGGGTCTGGCATTGTCGTGTTGGAAGTTCAAACAGGGTCCATGTGCTGCCATAAAAGGCAGAAGTTCCGGTGCCTGTACCTGGTCGCGGTAAGCAGCAGCGTTGAGGTTGCCACGGATGACAAGAAGCATGAAACGTGCATTTCCACAGAAAGCACCCCACACCATGACACTTCCGCCTCGAAATCTGTCAACTTCCTGTACACAACACTGGGCGTAACGTTCATGACGGCACCTCCACACCCTCGCCCTACCATCAGCAAATCGAAGATTAAATCGGGATTCATCACTGAAGACGACTTGATTCCAATTCCTCTGAGTCCATCGTTAGTGTCGCTGTGCCCACAATTGACCTCTCCGTATGGAACCTTAAGCCACGCCTTCAAAGAGGTCACGACCTTTCCCCCACTTCCTTAGACAAACTTATAAACAACATGGCTGCCTCTTGTCAAACTCGGAGAGCTTCGTTGGCGGATTTACAGGCTGATTTGTCGACTTCTTTTATGAAACAGGTGTCATTTTCAATGAAAAGTAAACAGCAAGGGTTTAAGTTTTTTAGTGAGGGGTACTTCCATTCAGTAAGCATGACTTACGGAGAGAATGACACCATCGTCAGTAGTGCCAAGTGCTATCGCAGTATGAAGAAAAACGAGCCGCCCCATGCTGTTCATGTTGACATCAAGCCTGAAGAAATATCCTATGCCTATTGTACATGTCAAGCAGGGTAAGTTGACCGTTGACAACCAGGTTTGTCTCATTACTGTTGACAAGATGCATTATCCCGTAATATTTATTGTTGATACAAACGTATCAAGTTCCCTAATTTCGTGATACATTCGTTCAATATGCTGAGGCTAACAGGATAATAGAGGTAATGATCATGATAATAAATTTGTGTAAAGACATTTCACTCATATCTCCTAACGAAAGAAAAGTTATTGTGTGTTAATTTACAGTACTGGACTCTTTTAAGTTTTCCATATCAAAAACACCTTATCACCTGTTAAAAAAAAGATCAATATTAACATCTGATATATTTGTCAAATATGCAACTAACTTTTAGTGTTTTATTTGTATGGATTATAAAAACTTGCAATCTTATTTAGCATCAATTTTGAATTTCTCTAATTTTTTCAGAGCTAGTGGATCATGTTCCCATGTCATTGGATTCATCATAGCACTGCAGCAATGGCAGTTGATGGGTTTCACTGAGGTTCCATCAAAGCTGTCCTGTACATCACTTCCAGAACAGTGGAGCAAACCTCGGTGTACCAAAGTTGAAGCAGGCGATGTACCACATTTAGTTTTTGTCAACCCCAAACCAGACAGGAAAAAGAAACCAGTTACTAATACATTGACAGAATGCAGGTACTTAATTTATACTGATTTATTTCATGAATTATGCTTTCCTTATTTCGCTCAAAGCAAACAAATGTATACATAAAATTCACTGGTATGACATGTATCATAAACATTTACATAAACTAAATAAACTTTGATTATATAAACTAAATATACATTGATATAAACTTAATGATAATCATCATGTTCAATGGAAATAGATGCCATAATATGATAATTATCATGCTTATCACTCTTAAATGTATAACATGTTCAACAAGACACATTTGAATTCATCAACGGCATAAACTTCAACAAGGAAGTGAGCTTTCACGTTTGCACAATAAGTTCTCTGGATTAAGAAAGTGAGATAGACAATTACATGTTACAGAAATGTACGGGTCGAGGGGACAGATATTGAACATCTTCAAGGCCTAAAATACCTTCCCATTGGATACCTTGTCTGCAACCCCTCAAAAACTGTGCACACTCATGTTGGACCAGTCCCTGTTGGCAGTGGCTTGTCAACGCATGTAAGTTTAGCAATGGTTTTAGTGTTTGTTAGAATTTGACCACAGCCTTTACCTGCCAAGCATGTTGTAACTCAATGGGAAATGACTGGATGTATCCAACCTTAACTTGTTTGTTATTAAGGGGTAGCCACCGGAGATATTGAGGATGCTATTATAGTGAAACTCCTAATACAGCAATTCAGAATTTTGTACAGTAATTTTACTCTATATCATTATTACTGGAGGATGTTTTTCACATGGTGTGACTATTATCAAGGTCCCATTGTACACTGTCAGGTTTTAACACTATAGTAACAGTAAATCATGGTAAATAGGGCTAAAGCTACATGTTTATAAGCTCAGTTGAAATCAGGGACAATGTCCTATCTAGAAAAGAAAAGCTGGAATTAAAATTACTTCATGTGTTTGGGCGAAAGGAAGTTTGGATTAAAATCACTTCATGTAATTGAATAGGTGACAGGTCACATAAAATTATAGTTCAAGTGGTTCAGTTTTGACAAAAGTATTATCATGATCATTTTTGAATTTTATTATTATTATTATTATGTAAATTATGTAATTTTACAGTGCTACCTGTGAATCTGACCTTTGGCCCAAGCTCAAACAATGCTAACAAAGATGTGACAGCAGGACCTTGGTATGCAGTACAAACACAAATTTAGCCTGATAACATGATAGGTCTAACAAGAATTTTGCAGTGTTCCAAAAACAACTACATGTACTGTGTCTCAATTTACTTCTTTCTGATACAAGGAGGCATGAAATTTGTCAGAAAAGAGCAAACATACCAAATTTGATCAATTGAAGACATCATGATAGCTGAATGCGGCCACTGAGAATCTTGAAACTTTTGATTCTGCGTATAGCTCTTTCGACATGTACTCTGTGCCCAGCAATCTTCTGAGTGAAGATGACATCTTTTTGGCTCATCTGTACACCAGACTTAGCAAATGGTGGTATATTCAGTCGGAGCCCTGTTTTCTCTACTTCTGCTTCAATATCAAACCCCTTATCTGCCATAATTCCATCTCCCTCCTCCAGATAACCAATCTCAAGAAGATCAATCAGTGTTGACTGAAAACCTGACTGCTTAAATATTTCTTTGTCTGACATTGCCCCTGAGAACAGCATAGAAATAAAAATAACTGAGCCTCTCGGATCTACAGCCACTAATGCCTTCAATGTGTTAGTGGACTTGTAATTGCTGTACGTTTGAGTTTGGGTATTTAGTGAAGATGGTTTTTCAATTCTAATTTCTGTGCAGTCAACAATAGGAAATGTACTTGGAAAATCTTTCCTATAGTCCTCTGGCATCCTTTCAAACAAGACATCTCTGTGGGGCCAGATGCTTACCTCCCCAAACCTGAGAAACATGTAATTTATCCAGGAATTGAAGATAACACCTGCAACTTGCTGAGTAATTGCAAATCTAAAAGCCAAATCCTGCAAGTGAAAATTATTCCTCAGTTTGCAAAGCATCAAAAACAACTGATTTTCAAGGGAAAGTTTCCTAATTTTGGACAATTTTCCTTTCCCAAGATACCTAAGAGGACATGATTGAGGATCTGGAACTAAATACCTAAATATGGCAATGAAGGTTTCTTTGTTAAAGCCTGTGTAGTACTTGATAAGCTTAGCATCTTCCAACATAACATCAATTGAAAAAGTAAATGTTTTTTGCCTTTTTTAAATGTTCACATTCCTCTTCAGTATCTTTCAGCTTTATCTTGACATCTATAAGCTCCAAACTGCATTTTGACAGATCTCTCTTCAGGCTCTCATTCTCTGCAATAAGTACTATCATATCCATTGGGTCGATCCCTGAAACATTTAAAAAGTAAAAGGAAATCAATTCTGCCAAATACAAATTGATGTTATAATGTAATGACAAATAAATATTGTTAATTTGATCTCATGTCAGTTTGCTCTTTATTTCAGGCAAAGTTTTTTGAGACTGAGCCAATAAAATCTGTTGGCACTAGATGTGGCAATCTAGCTTTTCCCCAGGCCGCCACAGTGACCCTTGGAGCAGAGTACCACATCGAGGATATGACACAGGAGCAATGTGAACAGTTAGAGCAACTAACAAGGGACCAGACCAACAGTCAGATGTGGTTTCAAGCCAGGAAACACAGGCTGACAGCATCCACATTTGGGTTCATACTCAAAAGAAAAACCATCACAGAAAAGTTCATCAACAACATCATAAATGAAAAGGCTTTCACATCTGCTGCAACCAGCTATGGTAAAAGTAATGAAAGACAAGCTATTGAAAAATACATTAAGCAGTCAGGTAATCATGTTCATGATTGTGGTCTTGTAGTGAACAGAAAGTTTCCATTTCTAGGAGCTACACCAGATGGGAAGGTGTGTGAAGATGGTATTACAGGCATCATAGAAGTAAAATGTCCATACTCAGCCCGAGACATGTCCATTAGTGATGCCTGCTGTTTATTGCCAAAGTTCTGCTTGCAAAATACAGATGGGATAATTTCAATCAAGAAAGCTCCCCATTATCATGAATATTTTTATCAAGTTCAAGGACAACTCATGATTTCAGGTGCTGCCTTTTGTGACTTTGTTGTTTTCACTAAAAAAAGACCTTTTCATACAAAGATTTTTTCCTCTTCCTGTGTTTATGCAACAAATGTTGGATGAATTGAGTGCTTTTTACTTTCAGCATGTTAAACCAGTACTGTGTTTGCCAAGTTCTCATAATGTGTGTACACTTACAGCATGAGTCAGTCTGACAATCAGTTGTCACGGTTGAACTTGTATGCACAGCAGTGGCAGTTGGTAAAGATGGGTTGTCAGATTTAGCTATCTTTTCTGTTGGCTCCAATCTGCAACAATATTTGAAACTATAAACTTTTACAAAGTTACTATTGATTGTTGTTTGAGAAGATAAAATTAAACCAATATCAAATATTTGTGTGTCTGTTATTTGAGTTCATACAGTATAATGTGCATGAGTGTCATATAACAATGTTTAATAGCAAAAGAGGATAAAGTGTGACCCATATAGGTGCTGACTGGATGCATACATTACCTTATCAAACAATTTCACATCATACTGGGTGTTAACGAGAACTAAAGACACTCAACAAATCTAATAAATTTCCCCGTGTGCTATCTCAACTTGTATTACCTTCCAATCTCTCCAACTTTTTTGCTAACACTGAATTTTCACATTAGCCAATATAGTTATCAAACTTTTATTAAATGAACAAACAATTTAAAGAACAAAAGCCATACCTACCTACCCTATTTATTGTTTGTTACATGCAGAACTCATTTATTTATACAATCTCTCCAACTTTTTTGCTAACACTGAATTTTCACATTAGCCAATATAGTTATCAAAATTTTATTAAATGAACAAACAATTTAAAGAACAAAAGCCATACCTACCTACCCTATTTAGTGTTTGTTACATGCAGAACTCATTTATTTTTATTTCATCCAAATTAACAACACACATTTTCCCTGGGCAGTATTCATTACAAGATGAGAAAATCTTATTTATGAACTTATGTGAACAAGATGGAACAACTGAATCAACTGTAGAAATTTTACAAAGTATTTGATCATGTAAATGGATAATCAACTTGTAAAGTACCAATCAATGGCTTCTTACAGTGTACACAAACCTCTGAGTTCCATCATGGGTGGGCTTTCTTTTTGTAGGGGGCTTCCTACTCAGTCCAGCCTTGTCAAAGTGATTGGCAGGTAATGGGTCTGGATGTTGCTCACATGGAAAATTGTTGACGAAGTGCTGAAAATCAAATTTAACACAATAACCTCTATTATGTGGATAAACCGATGTATAATGTATATAAACACAATGAATTCAAAAGTTTTCAATAAGTTTGTGAAATCTTTATATACATAGATCTATATGTATATATACATATATATATGTTCGACGATTACCAACCCAGGTAATTTATATTCACTACTTGGCCAATGGTAATAGGAAAACTGATCGCTGCCAAACAAAACTTAATGACGTATCCATCTATAAAATTGATTAAATGTACGGGAAATGTACCTTTGTGCAAACATATCTATTGCAGTTGATGTTTGACGGATTGAGCTGATTATGCGGTCGTCCACAAAGTTTTATCCACCGTAGGCACTTCTCGTAGTCAGTCTTCGGTTTTGGAAACGGTATGAACTTGACACCGCCTCCTAGTCGTTCAGGGTACCTGTCATCACTATTGCACAGACCGTGACTGCACCTCTTTACCATTTTTTCTGGATAAGTTGGCCGATAGAACGATTGCGTAAAGCGCGCCAGCCAAACTTAGACAAGCTTGTTTGTCTAAGGAAGTGACTGCAGTCAAAGTATGCGTGCGCATACTGTCAGAGCGACTCGCTGATTGGTCAAGTCAGCTGTCAATAAAATTCGACGGAGAGGTCAATTGACGTTGACGTCTGTGTAATTGAGTCAGAATCGACCCGCAGTATGGCCGTCGTGCTTGAAGGTGAGCAGTTCTCAGACGGTTTCGAACAGTTTGCGCACTCAGTCTACCCCTAAACAGTTCATTTCTGGTTGATGTAGCCGCCAAAAATCGGCTACGGAGGTGACGTAAGACAACCTGACGATCCTCTGCATGTGACGTCACACGTGGTCGACCTGGCCGAGGGCGATCAGCGGTGGTACCCGTTTGCTGTAGACGCGTCTGTAAATCATAAACAGTCCGTCGACTACAACCCATCGTCCTTGCGACTTCAGCTACGGGCGTTCCCGTCTGCAACATGCCGATGGCACGTGCACGTTGCACATTTGAAAGGCGTGGCATGACAAATGGCCGTAAAGACTTTTGTTTTCTTGTGTTTTTCTTTTTTTGTTAATGACTGCTAACAAGTATGGCTGAAAACACGTGCGGTATTATGGCTACGTGACCAGTTTCACGTGAAAAACCACTTTTGCCACTATAGTGCTGTGCACATGATTTTGATCGATTCACCTGCACCAAAACGGGTGTTATCTGAAGACAATACGTGGCCATTTAAGAATTGACCTTCACTTTGTGTGAGTTCATTGGAGTATGAACCTTCATAGAGTGAGGGCCAAACTGTATGAACGTCGGAGCTTGCGACGACGTACATACAATGTTTGGCCTTTTCTAAAAAAAATTATCACAATTTCTTACCTCAAAGGATGTAGGCAGAGATCTAAACTCAATTATATTTAGTACGCGTGAGTTCATGTTTACACTGACAGCCATACAACAACCAGCTAAATCGCGGAGTAAAATAGTTCCTCAAAATGAGAGGTGAAATGGGCGTATGGATGCACAACTTGCTCTTCATGAACATCTTACGCAGCACATGTGTTCAAATCATATCCTCATTAGTTGAGAAAGGTGTGTTGATTTGATTTAAACATATTTATTCACAAGGAGTGAACGGGATTGGGGGACAAGTTCTTCCAACTTAGAATGCCCTCTCCCTGGTATTTACAAAATATTCACAATTTCAAATTCAATATATATGCATAAAACATAAAACACTATAGATGAGAGAGAGAGAGAGGGAGAGAGAGAGAGAGAGAGAGAGAGAGAGAGAGAGAGAGAGAGAGTAACATTATTGAATGAACAGTTCTTTACACGAATCTTTTAGTTGTACATATATAATGTTGTACTGCCTTAAATATAGCTTCATTTTCTGTAACAACGTGATCTGCATTGCCGTGTAACAGTAAGTGTACATCAATAGGTATGTTATGAACAATATTTTTAAGGCTGTTTAACATAATTTCACGCTGATGACTAAACAATGGACATTCGATGAGATAATGATATGCATTTTCACATGTATTCGAACATGTACAGTTCGGGTGATCTTTTATACCAATTCTATATAAATCATAGTTCAACTGACTGCACATGTATCTCAGTTTTGTGTGTAAGATATTATATTTTCTTTTTCCATAAGCGAAGTACGCAGGTGACGTGGGGTTGTGCTTTTGTAGCGAATTTTTAAAACAAGAAATCGTAGAATTTCGATCTGATAACGGAATAGAGTTCCACAATCGGATAGACGATGGGTAAAAGGATTCACACGAATGTCTTAGTCTTGTGAGAGGAACACTGATGTTTTCAGAGTTTCTGAGACTGTATGAGTTTTTTGCAGCAACGGTTTTGGGTAGAATATCTGTTAGATAGGAAGGGGCCATGTTATGATTAATTTTGAAGAAAAGACAAAGTTTACGTTTCTTTCTACGCTCAACTAAGGGTTCCCAACCGGTTTCGTAATATAATGAATGCCTGGGGGCATATTTAGGTAGACCAGTTACAATGCGTGCAGCTTCTAATTGTAATTGTTCTAATTTCTCACTTTGTCCTTCGGTGCAACCATCCCAAACCTCACATGCGTATTCAAAGTATGGTCTTATGAACATTTTATATATATTGTTAATGGTATTTCTGTGAAGTAGATGTTTGAGTTTTCTCATTGAGTAAATCATCTTGGAAGTTGTTTTAATTATGGTATCTATATGACAAGACCATTTGCCACTGGCTTCAAGTATAACACTCAAGTGCTTATGACTGTTTACAGAGCTGATTTCTTTTCCGTTGAAATATAGTTTTAGACCTCCGTTGTTGTCTTTGCGAGAGAATAGAACCGATTTGGTCTTATCGGGATTGTAAGTTATGAGCCAAAGTTTCGCCCATTTACTTAAGATTGCTAAATTTGAGTTTAAGGAACGTTCCAGTACACTGTTATCATTGGATGACATGCCAATCGATGTATCGTCGGCAAACAGTCTTGTCATACAGTCTAATTTATCAGCAATGTCATTTACATAAACAATAAAGAGTAAAGGACCAAGCACGGATCCCTGTGGCACGCCAGCCTTCATGTATCTTGGTTTGGATATTTCCCCATTCACAAATACGCTTTGGCTACGATTACTTATGTAACTGCTAATCCATTTTAACAATTGGCCTTTTATACCATACCTCTCTAATTTATACACAAGCCCACTGTGCCATACACGATCAAAAGCTTTTGATACATCACAGAATACAATACAATAGTTTTCTTTGTTATCTAACGCTGTACAAATTTGGTGGTAAAGTTCTATTAGTTGATGGACAGTTGAGTGACCAGCCTGAAACCCAGATTGGTACTTATACAACAATTTGTTCTCATGAAAGTAATTATATAAATGTTTGAACACAACTCTCTCAAACAATTTTCCTAAACAACTAATGAGTGATATCGGTCTATAATTAGAAACGATAGTGTGATCACCTTTCTTAAATAATGGCATAACGTTTGCTTGTTTCCACACTGATGGAAATATGCTTGATTGTAGTGACATATTGAACAGTAAACACAATGCTTCGCTTATAGAATATACAGTTTCCTTTAATAATTTATGACAAATTTTATCCGGTCCGGAGGCTTTATTAAGAGGCAAACATTGTATTATGTCTTCAATTTCCTTTTTAGATATGATTATGTTGTTCATCTCTGTCTCTGTACGAAATGTGAAGTCGGGCATAGTTGTTCTTGTATCGTGGACATCAGATATAGATTGAAAATATTTATTCAGTTTCTCTGCCTTTTCAATATCAGTAAAAATTGTCGGGTGCTCGTCCGTGTCATACTGTTTAAGAGCGGCTATGTTGTCAGCTGAGCCAGAGTTCTTCACAACATAACGTAAAACTTTCCAGTAAGAGGGTTTGTTTTCTGCATGCAATTCTGATAGCAATTCATCGAGGTTTGAGTAAAAATGTTCTTTAGCGTGACATTTCATGTTATTTACTTTGTTCCTCTGATTTTTATAGGCCCGAATGTCTTTTTCCTTTTTACTTTTTCTAGCCTTCTTTTTTAATCTATCTCTTTTCCTGGATTCTCGTCTTAAACTGAAATCATACCAAGGTTTGTCCTTTGGACGAATGGTTACTACTTTGGTTGGAATGCATATTTTAACATATTTATTCAAGTATTTGTAGAACAGATTACATGCTTCATCAACATTTGAATTTTGATTAAATAATTCATTCCAGCAAGTATTTTCAATGAGCGAATTGAGTTTATCAAAGTCACCGTTTTTAAAACATGAAATTTCTCTTTTATATGCTAATTTTGTTCGCAAACCAGTGTCTATTTCAATGTAAGTTCCCCTATGGTCGCTAATTTTACTATCAAAATCAATTACACCACTGTCGATGACTTTTATATCTTCACTGATAATAATAGGATCCAATAAACTACTGGTATGGTTCGTAATTCTGGTAGGCTCGGTTATGATATTGTGTAGATTTTTCCTATTTAGTAATTCATTTACGTTTAAGCTCCTGGACAATAACATGTTTTCATTTATGTCACCAACAATAGTAATCTTGCACGAAATATCCAGGGCATTTTCAATGAAAGGTGTGTAAAGAACTATCTCAGTAAGTCAGTCACAATGACAGCGCGTCGTAATACATTTACATCAAGTACAAGACGTCAAAATGGCCGACACGATAAACGTGACGGGAGAGATTTCCGAAGTTGTTAATGAACCTGTGGCGGTTACATGTGTTAGTCATCATTGATCAAATGGCCGATCATTGAAAGGTGAATAAACATGCGTCAAACAGACACAAAGGTAAATTAATAGATTGCTGGAGACGGTCAATGTCAGCCTTGGAACGGATCGAGTCGATACTACGATAGTTTAGATGTGCATTTCTTCGTTTGTTCATTAGGATTGGCCGTAGCGAGGATATTCGTGCAGTCACGCTCTCTGACATTTCTCAATGTGTAGTATAGGTAATGGGGGTTCTGGACCACTTCCACTGGAGCCGGATTTATATACCTATACTGCTACTACAGAAGGAATTTTTTATGTGTAAATGATGATGCGATTCAACGATCGTCATGAGATTAAACTAAATTGACTCTAGCTCACCACCACCTGGAGTCAATCAATGCTTCTATGATATAATTTTTTATAGGTAATAGGGGTTCTGCATCAACTCCACTGGAGAAAGATTTATATACCTATACTGCTAAATAAATGACGATGTGATTCAACGATCGTCATGAGTCGTATTAAAAGAAACATCAATATTAATTAATAATGGATAAAATTTACTATAGCCCACGAGGATATTGGAAAGGTGTAGGAGCAATAAAAAAATTAGCCATTGCGGCTAAGGTATCTAAAGATGTGGCCAAGGATTGGTTAAAGAAACAAGCGATGTGGCAAATATACTTACCGGCACTGCGTTATATACCGAGGAAGAAGTTTGATATTTTTACAACGAATGAAGTTCATCAGGCTGACCTCTTGTTTCTTCCCCATGATAAGGTAAAACGCAAAACGTATAAATACGCTTTAACCGTAGTGGATGTGGCTAGTCGATACAAAGATTCTGAGCTATTAACCTCGAAAGATTCAACAGAAGTAGCT